ACCCCGGACAGTAGAAGCCTGAGTACTTTGCAGCAGGATCATTATCACGATATGTTGTCTTTCCCAAGGCAAAACCGCCGGCGAGAAACCTCAATGCTGCTTTCGAGGTTGTGCTATCAAGATGCCTTATTGAAACTGTAGACTGCTGCTTTGTGATAAAGGAGACGTTGCGGACCGACACCCCGCAGCCTTGCGAGACAACCTCGGGAGCCCCAGCCCCCGCAGCTTTGTAGCAAGGATACATGCAAGCATTGCTCAAATTTCTTCGAAAATGGTCGCCCATCTCTCGGCAAGGCCACAGTGAACTCTGATTCACCCGTGCCCACCGATGCTTCTACAGTCCATGCCTAAGCAATGCCCCTTGTGTTTGTGGCTTGGCTTATCTTTCGCTACAGAAAGCGGGCAATTCAGGTCTCGACTTCGACTCCGGAGACATCCCCAAAAGCTTCGACGACAGCCCTAGCAGTGGTGCAACCGTCAGCACAAAGAATAGGTGTATATTGTACTGGTCGAACCCCATAGTCACCCACGATGCCAGGTACCGGCCCCAACTTCTCAAGCTGCTGCGACTGCCCTAGCCCAGCCCCTAGCATCCCGCAGCTTCAGTGTTGATCGAGCATGGAACACTGTAAAAATCACGGAAACATTTCAGGCCGTGGTTCCGAAGCGACCCCACATCGAGGAAGAGTTGGTACCAGCTGCTGCGACTGCCCTAGCCCAGCCCCTAGCATCCCGCAGCTTCAGTGTTGATCGAGCATGGAACACTGTAAAAATCACGGAAACATTTCAGGCCGTGGTTCCGAAGCGACCCCACATCGAGGAAGAGTTGGTGCCCGCAGCCTCGAAGCGGCGCCACGTCGATGAAGAGTCCGCGGTGCCAGCGCAGCCCTGAGCAACAGGCGACGACGACAGTTCACGTGCCGTGGTCCTATAAAGACTACCAAGGCAGATGGGATGGCTCTACCTGTTCTTCCAGCACCCCTGGAAGCCTCGACGCCCGATGTTCAGCCCCCAGCAACACAGGACAAAACCATCGTTGCTCGTTTAGGGCAGTGTGGTGGTGCCTTAGATTGTGATTCTCGAGCGAGACAGACTTGAGGTAAGACCCCGCCCCACAACGAGCCCAGAAGCTGGGATGATTCCTATCGCCCGGACCTGGACTACTTGAGACGCTGCCTTACCTTTGTTTCTGAAGTTGATAGCAATGCGCTCCCAGGCCAACACTCCTTTCCATCCTACAGGTCCTACCGTCCTTGACTCAGAACAATCGAAAGCTCCTGACAAGCCAAACTCGTTACGTTTTTCCCGAGGAGGCACGTCACGATGAGCCGGCCACCGAAGAGCCGCAGCAGGATCCGACAGCAGTGTTGCACAAAGGGTGATAGGAGTGTAGGTTTATAGGGGTATCAGTTTCGAGGTTCAAGCGCTCATTTAGGGTTTTAAATTGGGGATAGTGTTCTGGGGCTTTGGGTTTTGGATTCGGGGTTCAGGGTTTTATTTTGGGAAGAGATCACGGCGAACTGTTCAACATTTACCAGGGATTGGGATTGTGGCAGTCAGAGGCTACTATAAAGGGTGGGTTCCGGTGTTGGCTCAGGGCTTGAAGGCTTCCCTGAACCTTCGCCTCAATCTGTAATATTAACAACTATAGAAGGCCCACAACCCTGTAACAAACTCTCTTAATGCACCGTTTTGTAGATGAGTTTGTGGAACTTGCTATCCAAATATTATAAGCCCTATATATATGTAAACCCGATCACACCACATGTAAACTCCATCCACCCTATTGTATATAAACCCCGAACGACACCCTACCAGCAAACGGGTTTAAACCTGCACGAAGGAGGCACCGTGTGCGACATCGATTCTGAATATGCTGACCGACGGCCCTCCAGTTTCTGTCAAAAACTCAGCGAAGGAGTCTCTGAGCTTTGCACTGTCGGGTTAACTAGTTCAGCCTACTAAGGACAGGGAGAAGAAACTCCTATCCTTCATTGCCACCTTGATGCTGGCACCATCGACACCTCGGTCAGAGGACGTCTGCGGTACACTAGTACGGACTAAATACAATCCGGTTTGTTGTGTTTTCGCGAGAACAAATTTTGGGAATGCCATTGAAGGAGCCTCTTCCTAAGCGGATCAGGCATGAACCTGAACGTTCAGATTCGATGAGATCTGTGAATTCTGCAGTCACCACGAGCAGCGGAAGCCGCACTCCCTCGACTTCGCCCTACTCCGTGACCACGAACGATACCCCGCCTCCGCCAGCAGTCACGGGAGCTCCCAAGCCAACCTCGGCAACGCCCAAGCCCAGTGAAGAGGCTGTGCAAGCAGGGTTTGCGCAGACTGATCATCAGCTTCGCAGGGACAATGAGAACGGTCTCAAGGAACCCGCAGAGCCATCGCATGTGGAAAGGGACAGCGACGACGAGGAAGAGAGTGAAGCTTATCGGAAGCTATACAACAGGATGGAAGCCAAGGTGCGACGAATGTGCGCACCCAAGTCATCGGGCAGGTGCGATGCCGACAAAGCTCTGCTTGGCGACTGGGCGAAGAGAGGCCACAGCAGGGTTCAGCTCGTGAAGCTGATGATGGAAGCCGACGGAGTCAGGGAGCTGCAGTGCTTCATGTTGTGGAGTACGCTTATAAATCATCCAGCTCAGTATGTATGCATACACTAGCCTCGCCAGGAGACCTTCCTCACCAAGCTTACGCTTTACAGGAAGACCGAGCAGTTCCGGAACACCTCTACGAGAGGTGGCTACTACTCGGAGGCTGACATGCGGAAGCCCGTCTCGGAGGGTGGACTTGCTTTCAAAGAGTCATTCGGCTAGAATCAATGTCAGGATTGGTATAGGTGCCATGAATACCTCGCATGATTACAAGGTCCAAGATCAAAAAGACCGTCAAGTACTGCGAAGAGCATGGATTGACACGGTGCCGTTGCTGGAATATTGCCCCAACCCCTGCACCTCTCAAACCCTATAAAGCTCATCATGCAGACCCTGTAGCTCCAAACCTTGATGGTCCCAAACCTCCCCAACTCCCCTGAACCCCGAACCCTGCACATGCAGTGATTGTACCATCTCCTACGACGACAGTCCTGGAGGCCCAACAAGTACGACGAGAACGAGATCGAGTATTGGGTTGATTACCGGACAGAGGGAGTGATAGGGGTTAGCCAGGTTGATGGTATGGAAGAGATTAAGTCTGGGCACACGGACGGTGTCGTCCAACGAGCCCTGGATGATGAGCCGCCGCCACGTGGGCCAGATCGTCCTTCCGGAATAGAAGTGGAAGAGGGCAAGAAGGCCGATCGAACTTTTACCTCTATGCTTGGTACTGTTGGTGTACCGCTTCATTTGTGTACGTTTTGATTTCTACTTCCTTTGTGTACGTTTTGATTTGTACTTCCTCTTTCTCTCAGGGCATGCTCTCGCTGAACAAGATGCTGGAGGAAGCCCGAAACACCAGATCGAAGTTCGCTAAATGGGTCGTCAAGAACGGCTCGTCTGCAGACAAAAAGCATGACCCTCATTGTGTGTTTTCGCTTGCGCACTGTAAATTGTGCCGTGCTTTCTGTGTCTGGGAGAAGCTCTTCGCACGCTGAGGGAGCGCGCAAAGATGGACAAGGTTGTGGAGGACTTGGGCGAGGCCTATGATGAGTTAGTTATCTTCCAGGCGGAAGCCCAGGTGCATGGATTGGATGAAAAGTCGCTAGGCCTCGAAGGTTCAAAACTCCCTAAATTATTGGACCCTTCTGAAACCCAAACCCTGAACCCTTACTGAAGCCCTCTAAAGCCCAATGGGGACAGCCCTGTTAGCTTGGAAACCCTATACTACACCCTTAGTACGCCTATCATCCTATTTTGTAAACCCTATGTGGCCCTGCTGCCAAAGAACTATCCCAAGCAAAATATGTGCTCCCTAAGGCTTCAGAAGAAGTGCGACAGCAAGTACATTGACATCAAGAAGCTGTGACTGTCTCAACACTTTCTGCAGGGCTATCTGTGCGCATCACGATTCGAGTTTTGGTGTCCCATCACGCACATAAGGTGTGTCATGGCTGTGTCGTACGAGCTGAAGCACAGGTGTCGCAACCAGACCACAACACCGCAAAGCATGTGTCCCAAAGTTCCATAAACCTACACGAACCCACTTGTTTTATTTCCTGTCAGGGGATCCAAGCGGGCGGCGAAGCCAGCTGAGGCCCGTGATCACAAGGGACAGCCGCCTGCCGAAGAGGCTTCGAAGAAGCCTCCGAAACGGGCTAATCCCAAGGCTAAGGGTGTAGCAGCTAAGCGTGGGCAGAACAAGGCGGGCAAGTGATGATCAGGATGCTCGGTGCAGATTGGGCTTTATTGGCTTTCAAGTAGCTTTTCGCAGTCTGTAACTGGGCATGGAAAGGATTCGCTCTGCCTGCTGTCCTTTGATAGGAAGGACTCGCTTTCTTGCTATCAATTGAAAATTAGACGGTGTAGTGGCTCCTGAAATCGCTACTGCACGATAGGATGTGCAAGTGCATAGTGTTCGCTTCAACGCTGCATGCTCCTGAGGGGCCAATCTCAACAGGCACTGATGCGATGCCAAAAAGTGCTATCGTTGCTGTTCGGAAACTGCACGTGGCGCAACATGTATCTCTCTTCTTGGCCCACCCCCGAAACACTCGATTACATTGCCAGGTGAGGCGATCCGTTCCAGTGCTTCACACAAAGCTCGCAGTCTCGTGCGAGATTATGCGCGCGGAGTTAGGTGCTCAGCTGTTGCTACGCAAGGTCATGGGTATTCCATGGGTTGATAACGGTTCATGAGTGGCATAGGACTTGCCTTTAGCAAAGTCCGAAGCTGTTTTCAGAGCCCCTGAAGCCGTGTATACACCAAGGCCATTCCCAAATCTAGCATCCATGCAACCCCCAAAAACCACTTCCCAGGTCCCGGCCAATGACATCGTGGAGCGAGCTTCTGCCTGCAAGAGAGACGGCGATCTTCTGTGCCCCACAATGTCCGTAATCGCAAGAGCTTCTTCAAAGCATGAAGAAAAGACAGTATATGAAGCACTCCAGAAGAGCAAATTGCTTGTTGACATTCCGTGGACCTATGTTAATCTCGGCGAGAGTTTGGAGAAGCACCCATGCTTCAGGCCCCAGGATATGATTGCTACCCTTGCAAAACGAGGGAACTTGGATGCGATCATTGGGACTCCAGCTGAACAAAGCAACCCAGCTGAATACGGTCGACGTTGGGGAATTGGGGTAGATCGAGCCCTGCAAAAGCCTAATTTGTTCCGGCATGTGGTTGTTGTGGATTTGTAGACAGCCTCTGCTCCCGAAAGGTGATGTTGTACTTCGTGACTTCTGGAAACACTATGTGGCACAGTACCCTACACATCCTGTCGCTTCCGACATCGCGAGCGGACATGTCGATCCTACATGCCTCGTCCCCCTCAATATTCACGGGGACGGGGGGCGAACGTATCGGAAGAGCGAGTTGATGATCTTGCAGTTCCAATCGTGTATTGGTCGTGGAACCAATTTGTCACACGGGTCCAAGAAGCGGAGACTGTCAACCGAGACCGGCGAAACCGTTGCTGCAGCTGGTGTGAACCTGAAGGGGAATTCTTTGACAACCCGTTTCCTGATGTCCGTGCTTCACAAGCGGTATTACAGCGAGGTCCCGGGTAGAATCCATGCAGCCTGAACCCGAAAGCCTCCCGAGCTTCACGACGATTAAAACCACGATCGGGCCTACAGAAATCCCGAAGCCCCGATATTTAAATCTACGGTTATTTGGGTAATTAGGGTTCGAAGGGGGCTTCAGTGGTGAGGGATCATCCGGGATCATGGTTCTATGGGGCATCGGGGAATATACTGGTTGGATGTTTATAAGGGTTTGGGATAAGGGGCTTCCAATCAAGCTGCGGCCAAACCAAAATCGTATTCCCAAGCCCGAAACGCTGCCTCGAAATCGCCCAGCTCGTCACGCAGCGACCGCGCCTCGACAACACCCCAAACCCCACACCCAAGCCCTTTAATCCTATATAAAGCCCCGAATTTCTTTCTCTGCAGGACCCGGAGCCACTTCTGGAACTGCTTGGTTTGGTGTCAGATTGGTTTGGGTCCCTTTATCGAGACGGTTATCTGCACGAAGGCAAAACGTGGAAGTTCCTGGTTTTGGGCCTGAAAGGCGACCTCGTGTTTCAGGCTAAGGCCACCTCTGCGATTCGGAACTATGCCAGGGTGCGAAAACATGCACCCAAGGAGAAATCAAAGCCTCTTCTGGGGATCTGCTGCTGGTGCATGGCTGGGACTGAAAAGTGTGCCTTTGAGGTGTTCGACCGGAAACCAGCCTGGCTAGCCACAGCTGGCCCAAACAACACGGTTCCATGGCCTGCACCACCTTCGATCCTGCGGTCCATCCCGCACTGCGCCGATGATGCGCCGAGCTTCCTGAAGGTTGATTTGTTTCATACACTGAACCTCGGTATCTACAAAGAATTTGCGGCATCATCCCTCGTTCTCCTTCTGCAGTACTTCGAGGGAAACAACAATGACGAACGGATGCTAGCTATGAATGCACATGTTCAAGTCTACTTGAAGCAGACACGGCAGCGCTTGCACTGCCAAAAACTGACGCTCGAGACCATCGGAGCCAAGAGCAAGTCGACATTTGCCACTGGAACTTGGAACAAAGGGGAGGACAGTGTGGTGCTCATGAATTTTCTTCCTTGGGTCATGGAAATTCTGCCTACTGTAAACAGAAGTGAGAAACCCTGGCGCTACATCGATGTGGGGGCCCGAGCTGCGAGACAGTCCATGCACAGTCTCTACGAGGCTGAAGCTTTCATGGCGAAAGACGTGGCACGACTGGCTGCAGACTCCGGTTTCACATTCCTTCTGACCTACGGTAAGCTGGTTGAGTGGGCTGCGCAGGCGAATATTTTACTTTACAACTTGATTCCAAAGCTGCATTATTACCACCATTGCTTGATCGAAATGGACCGTGCTTGCGATGATCCGGAACTTGAGGTTTTGCTCAACCCCGTGATCAACTCTACGGCCCAGTGCGAAGATCTGGTGGGCCAGATAGCGCGGCTGTCTCGCCGAGTTTCCCCTAGACTCCCGCATAGCCGGGTGCTACGCCGCTATCAGGCGGCTTTGGCTGTGAAGTTCGGCTTGGGCTAATGTGCTCATATATGTAGCTGCAGACTCGCACCCTTTGTAAAGAATCGCTGTGGAACCCGAGCCGTCGAAGCCTTGTAGCCACGCAGCCGCAGCAGGCGCAGCAGCCGGTGCATCAAAGGATGGTTTGGAGGGCTTTATGGAGCTTTTGAGATGCTAGGCCAGGCTTCGGTTTGTCCTTTTCCTCGGGTATTGATGGGTTTGATGAATACTCTGCAGAGCTTTTGTCTCGAGATCGGGGCGAGCAGCTTGCGACTAAGGAATATAGGGTGAATCGGGTACCCCAAACCTTGGCCCTGAATCCAAGCTCGCACTAAGGATGCATCAAATCCCAAATCATTGTGGACCCCCATGGTGATGTGAAAACAGGCCTGCAACCATAATTTTTGTAATCCCGGAACCGCCGGAACCTCGAGCGTAAAAGTGCGTAGAAAAGAATCCGGGCGTAGATTTGCCAGGTTTGGAGGTCCAGGTTGGGTTTGTTTGAGGCGAGACTCAGCGAGTCTTGAAACCCCGAAGGGGTCAGCTGGCCTTCTTCGTTTCGGCCTGTTCTATCATGGTCATTGTTTGCTCTGTCTATAAGCCGGAATTAAGTATATTTATGCATTTATGCATCAGTATTACATTACAGCTCAGGGGTCCTTTATTGAGGTAATTCTATCAAAGTCAGAAAGTACCCCGACACCCTTTTAAAACCCTTAAGGCCCGCCCCCTGTTATGCTCTCTGGTTGGCGCTGAAAGTGCTGAGGCCCTGAGCTATTCCACTCCATGGGTTGCACCTTGCGGAGCACCAGGCTGGATGAGGGGTTTAGGGTTTAGGGTTTAGGGTACTTCCTTGCGTGTACCTGAACCCCGAGAGTATGTAGAAGACTACTTCGCTGAAGGCGTTGGGCCATCATTCTACCCATGTTTTTGATCGTATACCCAACCACATAATAGGTATTGACCCGCTAGCAAAATAAACCCTAAAGTCTAACCCAAAGGCTCCATGCACCCATATAGTAGGTACCTAATTAGGCTTTAGAGGGGTCCCTATATGGGTACTTTAAAGCCTAAGTACCTACTATATAGGCACATCGAGCCTTAGGCTAAACCTAAATTCAAGAAATGGGGGCTGTAGGATGGTCCTGGGGCCCGCGGGGACACATCGTCCTTAAGAGGGTTCAAGCTGCAGGGGTAGGGCTTTATGGCTGGATGAAGATTGAATACTCAGGTTACAGGGTTTAGGATTTAGCATGTTAGGGTTGAGGTTTTATGGCTAATTAACCCGACGACAAACCTGCAACCCCTGAAGCCTAAACCCCTAAACCCTCAACCCTCGACCCCTAAACCCCTAAACCCTAAGCCCCACACCAACCCCTAAACCCCGAGAACCCCAAACCCTAAACCTCTAAACCCTCAACCCCTGAAGCCTAAGCACCTATGTAAACCCTAGGCATGCATTTGAACACCCATTTATCAGGGGCCTCAAAAGGTAGGATGAAGGTATGTGGGGTAACTCCCAAATAAGAGTCCATATATAGGGGCTCCTTAATCCTACCTGCCTTCCTCCCACCTTTTGAGGCCTCCAAATTTACGAGGGCTCCGAAAACCCACTGTGAAGCTCAGGTCTCCGCGGGCTCTGGACCCTGGTAGCCAGAGACACCCAAACCCCGTGCTTCGTATCTTAGGGTTTAGGACATAAAAACAAATAAATAAATACATGTATACAAAATGAAAGAGGGTTTAAGGTCTAGGGTCTTGGGGTTTAGGGCTTAAGATCTTAATTCCCCTATAAGGGTGCAAGTACTCGTTATTGTACGACGTTGAAGCCTCTTTGGGATAAATCAGGACTACTTGGACCCTTGAGGGTGGCGTCCTTCAGGACGATTCCTCAAACTACGCAGGGTTTCTAGCCTGGTGTCATGATAATTCCCCTAGGGATCTAAGGACTCATATATTAAGGCTCTGGGCCCAAAGACCATACTATATAAGGCTTTTGGGCTATGTTGATCCCTAGGGTTCTTTAAGGCGTTTCAACAGGAAGAGCAAGAAGTGCCGCCACGATCGTAGCAAAAACAATGGCACCAGGCGCATCACAACACCCTAGAATCGCCGTCTGATACCATAGCACAAACATATAAAATGAATAAATCTAGCCCTTAATATGACCCCTCCACCCTGCCCATAAACCCTTGTTCATGGATCATATCTTACCACTATCCAGGAGCCTCCGTAGCGACTCTTTGCTTTGCGAACAACACATACATGAGAAACAACACTGAACCTTAAACCCTGTAATCATTGTAATCCCTATGAGCCCTAAACCCTGCACCATTGAAGGCATGTTCCTTGAGTTCCCTGATATTACAGGAAGTATACAGCCTCTATAGTTATCTAACTATGATAGAGGCAGGAGACTTAGTATGCAGCCACTGGAGTCATGTTAAAGCCACTAGATTTACATACAACTTACAAAACATCGAAACCCACTCTCACCCTAAACCCTAGGCCCTACCTGGACCCGAAAGCACCTACTCCTTTAGGGTTCCCCATTATGATTTCAGTATATAAGGCCTTTAAAAGGGTAGGTTACTTGGGGTTAAGGTAAACCCAAGCTCCCTAAGCCCTTAAACCCTAAACCCCAAGCCTTAAACCCTCAACCCAAGCTCACTAAGCCGTTAAACTCCAAACCCTAAACCCCAAGCCCTAAACCCTAAAGCCAAACTCCCTAAGCCCTTGAACTCTAAACCCTAAGCCCGATCCTTACTTGAAGGGTCGTGGGACTTAGTAAGTAGGTTATAATTGGGGTTATAAGTCCCCTAAGTGGGGTTATCCTACTTAAAACCTACTTATAACCTTACTTACTAAGTCCCATGAGCCTTTAAGTAAGCCCGATCCTTAGCGACCCAGGGCTTGGGAGCTCACCTTTGGCCGCTGCAGCAAAGCACCGCGCGCTGCAACCGCAGCAGGCGGCGTTGATGTCAGGGGTTTAGGGCTCCTTTAAAGGGATCTCTACATCGGCCGCAGTAAGGGCTTCAGAAGGGATCTACAGGGGTTTAGGGTTTAGGGAGTTGTAACCCTAAAATATGACGTTAGAGGCGGGATCTTTCTGGGGATTCGGGCTTTGAAGGTGCTCATTTGGGTGTAGGGTTTTTGTTGGTCTACGGGTTTAGGCTCTATGGTTTCGCCCTTGGGGTTCTATCCCCAAAAAGGCACAAAGGACCCTTATTCTACATAGCGCTTCACTCCCAATTCGTAAGCGTTGTGTAGTCCTGTAGGGTTTGACAGACTTTTCAGGGCCCGTACATAGAGTCTTATCCCAAGGGTTTACCTGTGGGGCAAGAGGTTATGGTTTTGAGGATTTAGCTGCTGGGGTCCTGGGCGCGGGTGTTTGGTGGAGTTGGGTAACCCCAACCCCTGAAAGCGTAGCCCTACGATCTCCCTTTAGAAATAGATGCGGCGATAGCAAGTAGCAACAACGGTACCAACATGCACAATAACAAGCTGCATTTCAGAAATTGTGTTCACAACAACGACAATTCCCAACTACGAGAGAAAAAAACTGAATTCCAAGCTTCTTTCAACAGAAAGCTACGATTACTACTGGAACTTGATGACCTGTGCCAGTACCAGCAATAACAAATACACATACTAGACCCTAAAACCCTACAACCCTGGACCTTAGAAGCCTATAAACCCTAAAACCCTAAACCCCAAAACCCTCAACCCTGGCTAGGGCCGCTTGGAAACTTCCCAGGCTTCGCAGGGGGCCACGCCGCCCTCGCAACGGCGCCTAGCCCGGCCCGGCCGGGAGGAGGCGAAGGAGGTGCCAAGGGGGAACTTGGAGGTTCATGGGACTTAGTATGGGTTCTTAAAGGGCTCCTTAAAGGGATCTATAGGGTTCCTTAAAACGGATCTTGGCAGGGCAGGGCAGGGCAGGGTCCAAGGAGTCCTAATTTTTAGTGTTTTTGGTACCCAGAAGCCCAGAAAGGCCCCAAAGTGCTATAATAAGAAGTACTCGGACTCTTAGGGTAATTTAGATGCGTCATTCATAAGCCGACGGCCCTTCAAAAGGGTTGAAATTGGTAGCCAAAACGAACAGGTGAATGCCGAAACCTTGGGTGGGTGTCGGGTTCTGTGCAGTGAGAGGCAGTGACTTCCAGAAGTGTTTGGAGGCAGCGTCCCAGAATGAGAAGGATTCGTTTTACGAGTCACGGGAAATAGGCTTCCGGGCCTTAAAATCTTTCTGGCACGAAGCTGGCCGCCATCCGAAGGCGCAAGTTGAGGGCGGCCCCGTCTGTTGCAGAGAAGCGCGTGAAGGCGAAGTTCCGCTAGTCCCGTTGGGAGCTCACCTCGGCCATCTCCGAGACTGAGTATTTCATGGTTTTGGGTTGGCTGAAGCGTGCTCTACAAGAGAACTTCTGGTGGAGGAGGGCGGCTACAGTGTGCCGATGCTCTCGGATCTCAAGACCTTTCCAGCACATGGGTTTCATGGAGCATGGCGTGGACGTCGAGCAAGTCGGATGCCAGAGCAAGGCTGTAGTACCACAGAACATATCCGGTAAATTCATGTAAACCCCCGGCTACAGATGTCGTTGGGTGTGCTTTGGCTGCGCGGTCAGTGGCTCTGATCAGGACTCGGAGTTGCATCGAGCATACGTAGCAAAGGCCCATTTATCCGATAGACATGTCCATGTCTGTACCGAGGAGGAGAGAATGAACGTATGTTAGTCGGCAGGAGCCAGCTAGGCATGCTGTGTGCGCATTGTGTATGCATGCAAGCAATAACTCAGGTAGAGACTGCCGCAGAACACATAGCGCCCCACACAATACGATATGTTCCAAGTCTTCACCTAATTGCCTTATTCGCAAGCCGACTGGAAGCGCTTGCGTTGGAAACAAGCGCTTCCGCTTCAGAGACCAGGAAGGTAAACCCTAAGTCAACGCGTTCCATCCGAAATCGCAAGTCATATCCCTCATCCTAGGTCCGAGACCTGCACCCTGACCTTTAAAACCCGAAT